TTACTTTCTCTGGATGTTTGTTGTTACAACCCATAAAGGCAAAATCTAGCAGTTGGTTTCTATTAATCTGGAGTTCCATCTGGAGTTTTTGAAGTTTCCACCTATTATCTGGAGATGAATGGCTGATGAGATTTCGACTAATAAAACAGTCCCTTCTCCAAAGAAGCAGGTCTATATTGGTATACTTTCAGAAAGCTTCCTCTAGCCAGTCTTAACAGGCTGTTAGATTTTCATGCTTTTCCTGGGTAATTCTTCTTAATCATAATTAACAGGCTTGTTTAGTTCTTTTTCCATTCCTGCCAAGAGGGCTTCTATCATCTGTGTCTGTTTTGTCATGCCTGCTTGTTTGGATGTTGTAGTCCCAGTTGGGGTCATTGGCTGGGCCAATTTCAGCCTTGGGGTAATTTCCAACTGGGGAGCAGGCAATGATTTAATCAGCTTCCCTGCAAGCTGTTTCAATAATTTGCTCTCTCTCCAGAGGGGTACAACACACTGTCAGAATAAGTGAGTGTTCCTCCAGGATAAGTCAAAGGACATCAACAAACTTGTCTGGGTTCTCGGAGTATTTTCCCACCCTTTCTTTACATTGTTGGATGTCAGTGACTGAGAAGAGGACCTGTACTCTTCATACTGTCTTTTTGGCCCTGGCCACTTCCCTAAGGAGCGGGTGGCCCTACTAGGAGTATGTTGTGAGCATAGGATATTTGGAGGAGAAGGCTGGTGAGCCATTTCTTCTGGTGAGTGATATGGAGGGGGTTGTTGGTGTTCTTGGAGAGACATGGGGGCAACTCAATAAAGGATCATATTTGATGTAGGGGCAGAGGCTTCTCAGGATACTGGTAGATTTTTGTCTTTGCATAGTAAGGGGTTTTGGTATAGAGCCAGGAAGGCTTGGATGTATTGATTTTCTGATCATTTGCTTTGTCTTTTGCAAAACAGATCCAATTGATGGATAGTATAGTTTTAGCTATTGTTAATGGGCCACTATTTTAAATCTCCTAACTTATATTGGAGCCAAGTGGTATTGCAATAGAAGATGAGGTGTTTCTTCCTTAGGTCATCAGGATTGAAGAGGTCCCAGTGGTGGAGAATACAGCTGAGAGGGGACTCCTGTGGTATAGAAGTAGTTCTTCTCATGTTGTCTGTAAAAAAAGGAAACCATAAGGATCTAGGAACTAGATTCCAAAGAATCCCTTGGAGAAAAGAGGTATCTCTGATTTAGACATTCCTGGGCATCCCTCTGAGGATCCTGGCTTAGGTGGCCAGATGTCTCTGGCACCAGGGCCACTATTGAATGTTTCCTAGAGCGTATTCCTTCTCTAATCCTATGAGTCCTTTCTGGCTCCTAAGTCCCCCACTGAGAAGATGGATGCCTCTGTAGACTGGCCTAACTGCAAAATACAGGAAGATAAGTGAATTTTAGTGCTGAAACAAGGGTTAAGAAGCTGTTACAAAGGCCCCAGAAGAGTAAGGCCCAGTTTGTTTTTCTCTGGGGTGCTTTCTTTTTTAAAAATGTTTTATTGGTTCCTTTTAGTTATATATGACAGTAGAATGTATTCTGACATACCATATATACATGGAGTATAACTTCCCATTTTTGTGGTTGTACATGATGTGGGGTTACACTGATCATGTATTCATATACAAACAGAGGGAATTTATGTCAGATTCATTCCACTATCTTTCCTATTCCCATCCTCCCTCCATTCCCCCCACATCCCCCTGACAAATATGGTGAATCTCCACTCCTCCCTCCTCCCAGCCTATTGTGAGTCAGCATCTGCATATCAGAGAAAACATTCAGCCTTTGGTTTTCTGGATTGGCTTATTTCACTTAACATGATAGTCTCCAATCCCATCCATTTTCCTGGCAAATGCCATAATTTCATTCTTTAATCCATTCATCTTTTGAAGGACACTTAGGTTGGTTCCATAGCTTGGCTATTGTGAACTGAGCTGCTATAAACATTGATGTGGCTATGTCACTATAGTATGCTGATTTTAAGTCCTTTGGGCATATGCCAGGGAGTGGGATAACTGGGTCAAATGGTAGTTCCATTCCCAGTTTTCTGAGGAATCTCCATATTGTTTTCCAGAGTGGTTGCACCAATTTGCAGTCCCACCAGCAATGTTTGAGTGTATCTTTCCCCCCACATCTTTGCCAACACATTGTTACTTGTGTCTTGATAATTGCCATTCTTACTGGAGTGAGATGAAATCTAATTTTAATTTGCATTTATTTAATTGATAGAGATGTTGAACATTTTTTTCCCACATATCTGTTGACCTATTTTATTTCTTCTTCTGTGAAGTGTCTGTTCAGTTCCTTTGCCCATTTATTGATTGGATTATTTGACTTTTTTTGTGTGTGTTTTTTTGTGTTCTTTATATATCCTAGAGATTAATGCTTTATCTGAGGTGCAGGTGGCAAAGATTTTCTCCTGTTCTATAGGCTCTCTGTTTATGTTCTTGATTGTTTCCTTTGCTGTGAAGAAGCTTTTAGTTTGATATCATCCCATTTATTGATTGCTGGTTTTACTTCTTGTGCTTTAGTCTTGTTGAGGAATTCAGTTCCTAAGGTGACATGATGGAGATTCAGGCCTAGTTTTTCTTTCAGTAGGTGCAGGTTCTCTGGTCTAATGCATAGGTCCTTGATTCACTTTGAGTTGAATTTTGTACAGGGTGAGAAGAGTTTACATATTTTGTTACATATAAATTTCCAGTTTTCTCTAGAGTGCTTTCTTAACCTAAGGATGAGGTAGAATTGTTTCCAAGGCTGGTGGTCAACATTAATGGTGGAAACTCCTGGAGTAGTGCCTGACTTTGGGCATCCTTATAACTACTTTCACAAGTCCAGTGAAATTTGGCCTCCTTACACAAAAGGCTAAGAAACACCCAGCCTGCTTTATCAGCCAGGGACTGCCGGATTGTATTCCAGAAATCCAAATCCTGTTTCTACTTTTTCATCAAATTAAAATAAAAAAAAGGAACAGCAATTTTTATCTGGTCTGGTCTGTGTTTTAGCACATGAGAAAGAAACCACCTCAGCCAGTAGGCCCCAACTGTCCAACAGAAATAGTGAGGTGCTAATAGTGCAAAAGGGCCAACCTGTCTCCAGGAGGAGGTCTTGAGCACCATTTCAGGAGAGGAGGAATTGGTAGTTTTGAAGTAGAGGCATGCAGGAGGCAAGAGAAGGAAGAGTATGGAATCAGGGATGGGCTTAATGCCCACAATAGAAAGGGAAGTCTGACATGATTTGCCCTGGATGGCCACAGGATTGGGGTAGTTGGATTTTTTTTTTTTTAACTATGTGCCCATGATGGTGAGTTTTGTCTTGAGTCTGGCAAAGGCTAATTCTAACTGTGGCTCACAACTATGTTATCCTGTCATTGGAATTTTCAAGTGGTAGGCACCCTACTGGCTCTTAACTGCCCATATGGTGCCCACTGAAAATGTGGACTTAGATTACTGGGAGAAACAGGTTAAGTAATATTAATTGACACATGCATACAAAAGTAGCGAGAAAAAGTAGACCATCTGCCCTATTGGGCAAATGACAGTCGAACTCCCTTTTCCCTGGATCTTTGAGTCTTCCCAGAGAGTCACCCTGGGATATCACAATTATCCAGGGGATGGGGTCTTCCATCCAAGGGTCTATCAGAATCTCGGGTTCTCCAACCTATTGAGTAAAGATTTTTCACTGTCTTTGAAAGAAGTACCTTATGATTGTCCTCAGGGGAAACTGTCAATAGCTCCTCAGTCCCAGTGTGCTACGATTGGAGATTCTTAGAAAAACAGATAAAGCAGAACAGTGAGGGCTTCAGGGGGCTTACCTTCTAGCTGGCTTGCCAAAAATGTCACCGGAGGAGAGTCAAGTCAATGTCCAAGTTCTTAGGGTCTGGAACAAAGAATTGAGCAAGACACATAGGAGAAGCAGCACAAGCTAGATTTATTGAAAGTCAAAGTGCATTCCTCAAAACAAGCAGCAAAGTGGGAATGGCTCAAGGATCCTAGAGCAGGAGCCCACTGTCTTATATCGCCTTCACTAGGGGATTTCCAGAAAGTGTGGCACTTGACTTCATTCCACTTCCCTTGGTCCTATTGATGTCCAGAACCGGAGTTCCCATAGCAACATGGGTGGTCCTATTGAGCACAGGGCGGGGTGGGGGTTACCATAGCAACTATGGGTGGTCCTCTTGAACCCAAGCGTGTGTGTGTGTGTGTGTGTGTGTGTGTGTGTGTTCCCATAGCAACTATGGGTGGTCCTATTGAGCCCAGGGCGGGAGTTCTCTTGGCAACGTGGGTGACGCAAGCAGGTACATCGTCCGGTGACCCGGCCGACATCTTGGCATATTCCGCCATCTTGTCATCCCTAACTTCCTGCTTCGGTGGGGGAAGGGAAGTGGGGAAAAGTGGAGTTCAGCGAAGATTTTTGTCTTTACGTGAAGGACTATTAGAGGAGGCGTAGGGGAGCCTTGCGGGGTATTCCCCGCCCCGGGGGAACGCGGCTGCGCCCTCGGCGGGCGCGCCGGCCCGCGCCAAGGCCCCTCTCCGAGGCTGCGGCGCTCCCCCCGGCCCGGGCCGCGGTCCTCCCGCCCCGGCGGAGCCGCGCGGTGGATTGTGGGCTGGGGGCTGCGGCGGCCTCGCGGCAGCCTCCGCCACGGTCTCCCCGGACCCTGCCGGGCCGGGCCGGCGGGGTGAGGAGAAGCAGTGGAGCAGGGAGCAGAAGCGCCAGGGGCAGTGGTCGCTGCGCGGCGGCGGCGCGGCGGCGGCGGCTCCCCTGGAGGCCGGGGATGTGGGAGAGGCGGTGGCAGCAGCGGCGGAGGCGGTGCTGCGGACCCGGGGGAAACTGCTGGCTGACAGGACACCCGGGAGAGACGTGAGGGAGCCGCCGCTGCCGCCTCTTACCCCCGAGCGGAGCTGGGCTCGAGAGGGCGACCCTGTGCTCCCCTGGCCCGCGGGCCAGCCGGCGCGAGGCAGAGGCGCGAAGCCGGTTTCGGCCCGGCCAGGCTCCGGGCGGCGGCGGCCGCGGAGCAGCAGCCTCGGCGCGACGTGGAGGGCTGGAGGCGGCGGCAATGCACTAGGCCTCTCTCTGGGGCGGCTGCCCGGGACCGCAGGTAGGTGTCGGGCCAGTCCCCCGCTGCCCACTGCGCTCCGGGGCCCTGGCTCACTCCGACCTACTGCGGAGAGAGGGACCGAGACCCCACCCCCTCTGTCTCCTTCCTGGCCCGAAGCGGACATAGTTTCGGTCACAAGTGACCGGCGCCGAAGCTTCCATTCTCCTCTCCGCTACCTTCTTTTCCTTGTCACTCTCCCTTTGGGATCCTGGCCCACTGCTCTGCTCCTCTGCTGTCGGCGGCCGCTGACGCCGGTCTCGCCCTTCGCCGGGATCCCGGCTCTGGAACTTCCATCACTCCTCTTGGATCCTGACCCCAAACTTTTCTTGTCTTCTTCCAGCCGGGCCCTTAACCCCTTTTGGAGCCTTTTGGGATAATTTTTATTAAATATTTTTCAATTTCCCTCCAGCTCTGGGAAAAACTAACCTAAAGAATAATTCGGTGTTTTGCAGTTAGGCAATTTAAGCTCGCAATAATTGGTTCGGTAGTTTTCTTCCGTTGTGCTTCCTTCTATATCTGCATGATACAAAGGTAGGCCATCCCTGCCCTCCCCTTGTCGTTTGGGAACTTTTGCCTGACCATTATCATTAGCTACTGCTCTGCCCATGTGTTGAGTTCAGGATGGTATTTTTAGAATTTTGGCCGACCAGAGTTGCAAAAAAATTTTTCTTGTTTTAAATTCTCTTTTAGCCAGCTTTATTTATTTATTTGTATTTTATAGAGGCTCCACTTTTGAAGAATTGTTTGAAGCCAGTTGTTCTAATTGGCTCTACTTCTGACTTGTCAAACCCAGGGCAGTCTTAAAAGTAAATGCTTACTTGGCAAATGATATCAGATTAAATTATTTGTAGTATACAGATAATCATATTGTTGTAACTTTAGCTGTAGATCTTGATGAACCTTCACTTTTATTAATCTGATGGGGAGTTCTAATTGGGAAAGAACAAGTACCTTAAGAGCCTAATTGATTACTGAGCAGTTATGATAGAACAGATGGGATTTGTTTGACTCTATTTGTACTACAGTCAGAGTCTGATTTCCTAGAAATGGGTATTGGTGGTTCATAGTGATCATCATTGCTCCTGATAAGCTTAGACAGATCAATATATGTAATTGATAATTTTGGTTTTTGGTAGATGTTTGCAATTTTATTGTTATTTGGCTAATTTAAAATCATGTTCTGGTAATTTTAGAATTATTACATTACCAGTCTGTTCACAATAAAACTGTAAAGACTATGCTTTGTTATTGATATTCATATATCTTGTTCCTGTAGAAGTATTGTTAACTACTTCGTTTGACTTTCTGAAATGTTTTTCATTGTTTTTGAAATTGTCACTGGTAAGATCATCCAGTTTAAAGGAAAAGATGATTAAATTTGCGTATAATTGTTTTCTTGAAAAGTGAAAATTTATTTCTGGATAAAATAATTAAATTTTTATGTCAGAATTGAAGACAAATCTTATATAACCCATGAAATGGCAAACTGCAGAATTTGTTTTAATTACACTCCTTTTTCTATCAATAAAAGTTGATTAAAATTCCTTTTTTCTGCTCTTAGCTTTTTCTTCTTTTTTCCTTTTCGGTCCTGGTGATTTATCCAAGGGCCTCACACATGGTAGGCAAGTGCTCATAACTTTTTAAAAATAGCTTTTTTTTTTTTGAGTTATAATTAATAACATACCATAAATACCCTCGTGTAAAATGTGATTCAGTGGGTTTTAGCATATTTACTGAGTTCTCTGACCAGCACCATAATAGAATTTTAGAAGATTTTCATCACCCCCAAAAGCCTTGTACCCATTAGCAATTACTCCCCATTCTCCCATATTACCTGCAGCTCTAGGCAATCACTAATCTACTTTTTATCTCAATATTTGCCTAATGTGGGCCTTTCATACAAATGACATTAATTCAAAATTTCTTGAAAAGTTATGCTTTTAAAATCAATTTACTTGTTTTATTTATTTGGGTCAGGGAATAAACAACTGGTCACCCGATATTTAAAGGGATATTGTAAACAACAGATATACTGTTTGGTTAACATAAGTACAAAATTTGGAGAAAGAAAAAAGCATCAATGGCTTCAGTGACCTGAAGAGTTAGTTGTGTCCACCAGGGCTAAGTCAAAGTTAGAGGAGGAGTTTTGCCACTGAATATTAGGATATCAAGTTGGAAAAAGATCTTAAAAGTTAATCAGCTTCTTTCTGCTTACTTCACAAATAGTTGGCAGGGACCATATTAGGAAATCTAAAAGGTAGAAGCTTGAATCTCTAGGATGCCTGGCTTAAGAACCGCAATGTGGCCCTGTAAAACAAGAAATGGGGAGTGTGGTTGGGGGTACGTTGGTTGTTAGAATTGTTTAGATTCTCATGTGTATTTGACATTTTGCTAGCAGAGCTTGGAAAGAACTTGGACATTCTTCCAACTTTGAGGACAAGGGGGTGACTAAAGTATCTCTGTAAATGAAATGCTTTACCTAAACACAGCAGATATATTATTTAGATAGTTTCTTGTATTGTTAACATTTTTTAAAATCCAAATTTTAAAAAGAACTATTTTCTAAAAATTGTAATTAACAAATGATTGTAGTCTTCCTTTTTCAAAGATCCAGAGCCCTAACATGGTTCTTCAAGGGCAGTTTAGCCTTCCAAGGGACTTTTGACAGTGTGTGGGGACATTTTTGGTTGTTAGAAATGAGGAGGGTACTGTTGGCATGTAGCCAGGGGTGTTGCTAGCTATTGTACACTAGTAAAAGACATACCCCATCCACACAACAAAGAATTGTCTGACTCAAAATGTCAATAGTACTATTTTAAATCTGTTGTTTGTATGATTCTGGTAAAGACTGGAGATGGTATTCATGACCCTCACCTGGTAGAGAAATACTCTCCACTTAACACTTGAAATTTTCTAGCAACTCTGCTGGGAGGGAAAAGTAAAAAGAAGTCTATTAATGACATAAAGAATATATATATTCTTTACTTTGTAGTTGTCTTCAAATCTGAAGATAAATACTTTTCCCTCCCTTAAAATGCAGCTTTATATTACATAGATTTGAATTATATTTATAGTTTTGAATTATTGGTTATTGTTGCATAGGTTTTTAAAATTTGAAATAAACATGGTGTATCTTTAGCCAGAGTGATTCCCCCCACCTGTCCACTTGCAGCTTCAACTGCCAAGAAAGAAGTTATCTAAGTGTTTTGATTAATTAATATATGTATGCTTGTACATATATGTTATGAATATCCAGAAAAGTTCACACTTTATACTCAAATCTCATCTTATTTTCCCATTAGGCAATTGGCATTTTGTGCTTAGCATTTTGAGTTCATTTGATTAAAATACATAAAGTTAATCTCTTATAGTTTTGATTCTTATTTAATATGTTGGTTTTTTTTTTTTTGTGTGTGTGTGTGTGTGTGTGTTGCTGGGGATTGATCCCAGGGCCTTGTGCATGTGAGGCAAGCACTTTACCAACTGAGTTATATCCCCAGCCCCCCTATTTAATGTTTTTAACAAGTTAGTGGTGAAAAATGATCGACAGTTGGGATCATTTTTGCTACTTAGTATCCATTTGACCTTAGAGAAGTCAGGATCTTTCTGATCCATGGTTTGTCATCTGTAAAATAATGGTAGTATTGATTCCTGTATTACAAGGTTATTATAAGAATTAAATGAGTTAATGTGTATTAAGATGCTATGTCAACTACATAAGTGTTAGTTAATTGTTTCAGAAGTATCAAATTAGAAAGCAATATAGAAGTTGCCAAAGATGGGAATTGAGAGATAGCAAGGCCGAGAACCATGACTGATGACAGGCCCTCAGAAGAAGAGAAATACTAAGTATATATTTCCATCTATCTATAATAAATTTATAGAAGAATTAGTATATCACCATATACAAGTACAAATTGACTTAATACAAGTATAAACTGACTTCCTTCAGTAGCCCTTGAGATTTTCATTCTTACAGTATAATAACTGATTAATATAATGGTGAAATTAAGTTATCAAGAAAGGGTTACCTTGGCTGGGCATGGTGGTGCACACCTGTAATCCTAGCAACTCAGGAGGCTGAGGCAGGAAGACTACAAGTTCAAAGCCAGCCTCAGCAATTTAGCAAGCCCTTGGGCAATTTAGAGAGACCCTGCTCAAAACTTAACAAAAGAGCTGGGGATGTGTTGCTGTGGTTAAGCACCTCTGGATTCATTCCCCAGTACCCCCCAAAAAAGTGTGTGTGTGGGGGGGGGGGCAGGGGGTTAACTTGTTTCAAATTATGTATTTGAGAAAACATTTTCATGTTTTTGAAATAAGTATTTTATTTCAGATTTTCTTTTGGGAATTGACTTTTTACAAAAAAATTTAGACTTTCCAAGAGTAAGCTATAGTTATTTGGATTACTTACTTTTTTGAGAATAATTCCTTTTGTCTGCATTTAGTATGGATAACTTCTTTTGCATTTGAAAGGTTATTTTGTAGCCAGTGATAATTGTTCCTTAAATGGGAGGGCTTAACTGAAGAAATAGGGGTTTTAAGCCTACTCATCATTTGTAAAATTCTCATCCTGTTCTAGGTTTGTTTCTTTTTCTATTATTTTCAACATCTCTTTATGCAGAGAGTTACTTTGATTTTTCTATATATCCAGTAGTCCATTGTTGTGCTTAGCATTTTGAGTTCATTTGATTAAAATACATAAAGTTAATCTCTTATAAAGTTTTGTTAGCTGGTCAACTTCCCTTAATCATACAAAAGTAAGGTATGGAAGTAGATGAAGCTCTAACTAGTCAGTATGATTTTTCAGGGGGTAGCTTGAAGGTTATTAGCAGTAATATTCAGAGTAAGCCATGTGGTAGTATTAGTAAGAATTTTTCTTAATACAATGGACTTTAAAAATTGAATTTTAGTAAATAGAATTAAATTTTCATAGGAAAAAAATAATTATGTGAATTTGGATAATTTTGCATTCAAACAGTTGACTTTTTTAACTCAAAGGA